TAATCTATTTAGATATATAAAATACATAATCCAACAAGAGGAAGGACATCTGAGTTTATTTTATAGGTCAAAAGGAAGTATGCATTTGTTTGGATGAGGTTTTTGTAAAATTAGATATTTGAGTCTTGTTTTCTTGACAATTCTCCCCATCAATTTGTTGTTGCACATAACATACACAAGATCATTCATCATGTGTGCATGAAAGCTGTGCTTTTCTTAGTATGAATCTTCAACTAAAAATTTCACATGTCAAAGAATGAATGACAAACAAACCATACTTGTAAACTTATAACCAACAAATATGATAGTTGATATAATTTACAGAAAATAGAGGCAATTTCTTACTTACTCTCTCAAATACACTCCAATTACGCATGCACCCATAAGCACTACAAGTCAAACTGAACACTTGGAAGACAACTTTTTGAAGCTTTGGCACGACATCGCCAAATGAAGTCCATCAATGAGCTATATATTGCCTATCCTTTAAGGTCATTGCACAAACATGCCTTGAGCATGATGAAATACGTGCAACTGTTCCATTATTCTAAATTGCTCTTCATCATCCTTCGCAAGTCTACCCACACATTCATACAATGCTACTTTCACCTTTGCATCATTATGGTTAAATCTCATACCCCGAGAATGATGAATTTGAGGACTCAACCGATATGCAGCGTAGTGAAAAGGCCTACTCATTTGATCTTCCCACCTTTTGTCAATGATCCTCAAGATAGGCTTATATTTACATTAGAGACATAAAATTCACAACTTAAAATAATAAAATACAATACATAGATACTTATATCATAAGTTAATAGTAATAGTAAACTCAAAAATTACATTCTTTCGACATTGTTGAAGTTGCTCTTAATCTTCTCCTTGGCTTGGATCATCTCTGAGTATAAGAAGTGAATTGCCAGTTTTTCATCAGAATCAACCAAACGTAGAACATTGACTAGAGGTTGAGCAGCTCTAAGGAAAATTGACACATCTTACCAAAATCTACAATCAAGTATCAACGCTTGAACTCTTTTCCCTTCCTAAAGCTTAGCAAAGCTATTCTTCCTCCACTTCTCATAAGAGAATATTGTCATAAAAGAACCCTTATTGTCATGAAGAGATACCAAAGTCAAAGATGATGTAGCGAATCTTGTAACTACATCTCTAACCAAATTCTTCCTTTGAGTGAACTCCCTCATATTGGAAACCAACATTGTTCTTGCATAAATCAAATTTGTGATCCTTTCAGCCTTGGAAAATGTAGTCTTTTGCACCTTAATATTCTTCTCGAGATCCTCTAGCATCAAATCCAAGCAATGGGCTGCACATGGTATCCAAACAAATGCTTCTTCCTCTCCATCAACATTTGTCATCCCGCCTCATAAGCTGAAGCATTTTCTGTCACAACTTGGAAAACATTCTCTTCTCCAACCTTCTCAACAACTCTATCTAACATCTCAAACACCTTCTCATCCATCTTTGAAATCTCAGAGGTGTTAACAACCTCAAGAAGTACGGTTCCACGAGGACTATTAATCAAATAGTCAAAGAGGACTTTAGTTCTTATCTCATCCATCAGACATTATAGTGCACCCCACCTCCTTCCATTCATCTTTGAACACCTCCATTTGACTCTCCACTTCCTTCATTTCTCCTTTCAGATAAGTCTTCCTGATCTCATAATATGAAGGAGGCTTAAACTAGGACCATGCCGAGCTTTATCTTCCCACATATGCTCATAGTTATCGCTTCTAGTTGCATTGACTGCAACTGCATTTTCATAGCACCATTTTGATATTGACTTGCAAGCCTTTTCTCGGAGATCTTTCTTCAAAAGTGCACTTATTGTTTTTTGTTTACTAGTGCCACTGCCACTAGCCACATTTGGAACACCACTACTATATCCATTCCCACCAAGATCGAGATCTTCTTTGTCTTATTCTCATTTCCTTCTTCATTGAGATGGAGTAGCTCTAACATTTTAGCCCTTACTTCCTCAGGAACACTAACACAAGCCACATAATCCTTTCTTGTTCCTGCAAGATGATGTTTGAAGCAGATATACCACATACTTCCTTGTCACAATAATTGCATATCACTTTATGCCTAGTACCAAGTACATCTACACCATGCTGCAAACCAAGATCATTGCGATTTCCAGGTGCATATATTCTCTTTGCCTTACTACTTGATATAGAGTTACTTGCACTTGTACCAACACCACCACTCGACATCAATACAGTTTCGCAAAAGAAAATCATAAACATTATTACAGTAAGGCTAAATGGAATTGAAGCTTTAGAAAATAAGAGGAAACAAACATAAATGCAATAACCTACTTTTTATCATGGTTCAGGAAACCCTACCGGACATCATACCGGATTTCTTTCTGGTAGGGTATTTTGTGGTACGACCGTGGTTCAATCGTTTCATACCGGTAAATACCGTTTTTGTAATAATAAAATATTTTTTTATAAAAAAACCATGCCGACAAAATTAGAGTACCATTTTGGAGTAATATCGGATTATACCGAAAATACCAGACAATAAATATTAAATAATCATATAATAAATTAATAATGAGGCCCACTCCCTAATAAAAAAAGGCCATGGACACCTAGAGATCCCCAAGGCGCCGCTCACCTCCCTTTCACTCTGCAAATTCCCCATACCTCCAACTCTCTCTCCCTCTTTTTTTATTACTTTCTTTCCTTTGATCTTTCTGTCCCACACGCCTCTTTCTCTCTCTCCCGCCTCTGATTATTTTCCTTTATCTCTCTTCATCTCCCCGATCTCATCATCGGTCTCTTTTGTTCTCTTCCTCTTCTTAAACGACGGTGGGAGGGTGAAGATCGGCGACCTCGGCCAGGACTCGGGAGAAGAGAGGGAGCCTGGATAACTCTGCTCGAGCTGGACGATGGAGTGGAGAACGATGGGGGCATCGATCTCACATAAAGAGGTGCGGCGCGAGTTGAACGATAGAGTGCAGAGGTCAGAGGAGGCAGGTCGAGAATTGAGATTGAATTGAATGGATTAGGGTTTTGCTCCTCTCCTGATTTAGTTTTCCCCCATTTTCGTTTGGTTAAAATCTGAAACGCCATTTTTGACTTGTTACCATAGAACCGCCGATTTGTTCAATATCGGACGAAATTTCGGATTGAACCTTTTATACCGAAAAAATCGGCCGAGACACTTTTTATTCCATAGATTGCATGTCGTTTCGTTTTCTGTCCGGTTCTGATTGAACCGGTTGAACCGGCCGGTACGATACGGTTTCCTGGACCATGCTTTTTATTAGTTAGTTTTACTTATACTCCTTCACAATAAGCTACTTTGAAGGGACAACTCACAAAAATCTTAGTAATGCTGAATATGATCATTTCAAGTAGGACTGGAAGTTTGGTACCGGTATTTGGGATATACCGAATACTGTACTGAATTTGTCTATATTTGGTATTACCGAATACACGTATTATTTCTTGGGATTGGGATTGAATTTCAATTGTAATTCGGTATTAGGGATTATCGGATTGGGATCGGTATATACCGAAATATAAGCTAGTGTATATTTTATCCTCTCAACTAGACTCTCTCATTCACTACTGCACAACCCTCAACCACCAAGAATGTCATTTAAGTATACATAAATCATTTCATCTTTGATTCACAACTCAAAAGTCCACATCCAACTCAATTTTGACTTTCCAATTTAAGTCACTCTTATTTCGCACCTACTAACTTGTAATTTTCATAACACCAAAAGCAAACACTAGTATTAGTCGATTATCAGCTTTCAATTCGTCAAATTTAAGATTACCAATGTGAAGTTGAAGGCGCCACAACCCGTGTTAAGTTTGAGATGGAAGCTTTTGTTCTTTCCCTCTCTCTCGACAATAGCTAAAGTGAGCGACTGATCATTTTTTCACAAGTCATCATAAAAATGGCGTTGTTTTGAGATAAGTAGGCACTTCTGAACCGTGCTTCGAATCTTATAAAAATGACCATGAATGAGTTTTTTTGCGTTTTTGCTGATAATACCACAATTTTTTACCCTTTTTGTGTGCTACGCGACTTTAAATAGAAACTGAAGCATTCTTCTGGTCTAAAAAGGTTTAAACGTATAATTTTATGCTTTATCGTGTGATTTTGACTGCATTGAAGAACCCTAAATCTATATGCTATGAATAAATTTTGTGTGATCTTTGGTTTGTTAAACTCGACATTACATATCTGATTGAGATTTTATTAAGGAATTTCTTGATTCCTGATCACACTCTTCGAGAGAGAATACCTTATTAGATTGATAGAGCACCTTCAATTGGAAGTAGTGAATTGATTGCGAGAATAGTGGGAGTCTTTGCTGTATTGCCTTGGCATTCTATTATGATTGAGGGTAATCTCCCTCCCGGTAGTTTATTCAAGAGAGTTTGGTATGCTTTGGTCTGGATTCCAAACTAATTCCGGACTCTCCACAATATGAATATCAAGTGAACTAAACTACTAATTAGACAACGTCAGCCTATATAAGAACTAGGGAAAAGACATACTCAGGTGACATTCTCATATTTGAACTTCGAACCAACCTACTTTGTTTCTGTTTCTTAGTTTGAGTTAATCGACATTACAACCTGTTTGCTCTAATAATTAGTTCATTGAGTAACAGTAGACTTGATTATCCTAGATGCATTATACTGATTTCCGATATTTGGTTACATTTGGCTCTCTAAAACTGCTACTCCAAATCTCCAATTGGTTGAAGGTGGCATGGTACCCACTGGCCACTACCCACCCTATGCACGAAAAAGATTGGAGTCAGACTGAGGGCGGCCCACCCCGCAATATATAGTATATGAAAAAAATAACCTCCGGCGTTCTCCCTCACCCACTTCCCAAGCCCCAAAAACCAAAAAAAACCTCTCCTCTCTTCTCTCTTCTCTCTTCTCTCTTCTCTCTCTGTTCCGTTGCTCTGCCTCACAGTCACAAGAAAAGAAACATATTAAAAACTTGGCTTTCACTCTCTTTTCCATCACCACCGGCTGGCTCGTGTCATATCATGCAGCCAGCCAATGTAGAGGAGTTGAGTGTATGGGCATAAAAAGGGGCGATTTCTCTCCTCTAACCTCTTCCCTTCTCTCTTCTTCTTGTATTTTGCTTCCTCCCCTTCTCTCCCTCATCCTTCTCCCCTAGCCAGCTCATTTCCTCTCTCTCTCTCTCTCTACTTGCTCTCGTTCACATCACCTAAATACCCACCAACCCCTCTCTCGCTCCCTCTCTTCTCTCTAGTACCAAACCAATCCTTTCAAGTATCGGCTTGCCTGCCTGCTGCCAGGATTTCTCCACCAGATCTCTAGGCCAGGAAGGAAGAGGAAGAAGGAAAGCTGGAAAAGAGATATCACCGGCCCTCTTTCCCTGACACCAGACGGCCACGGCCACGGCCCCAGGCCCCTCTTCCTCTCCTTTCTTTTTTTATTTTATTCCCTCTCTTCTTTTTCTAATAATACCCTTTGGTTAATTTTGTCTTTTCCTTCGTTTTTTCCCTTCCTCGCCTGTCTTGGTTTTGGTTTCCATGCCACACCCACACACCAAAATAGCGTCTTTCTCTTGATCCCTTCTCGATAATCCCCTTCTCGTTTCTGGGTTTTGGTCCTTTTTCCGTTCTGGAGGTTGGAGACAAAAGGGTCGAAAGAGATAAAATGGCGAATGGTGGTGCGGTTGATGAGGGGAGGGAGAGTGAGACAGTGGTGTTGTTCAGTGAGGAAGAACTGAGGGAGATGAGTGGGGTGAAGCAAACCGGGGATTGCATAGAAGTCACTTGTGGTTGTACTAGCCATAGATATGGCGATGCGGTGGGTAGGCTTAGGGTTTTTCCCAACGGTGACCTCGAAATCTCCTGTGAATGCACTCCTGGTTGCGACGAAGGTTTCTCTCCCATTCTTCCTTTTCCTCTTTCTATCTCTTGTTCTCTTCCTCTCCTTTTTTCCTATTTGTCTTCTTCCTTCCCTTTTTTGATATCTGGGTTTTGAATTTTATGCATGTTGAATGTGTCATCTGATGTCGTTTTCTCCCCCATCGTTTTAATCGAACGGCATTGATTCATCTACCCTGAGTACCGTCCCCGAGTGGACTTGTGTTTGTTTTTTCCCTTATACAGGCCAAGTGTTTGCTGTATTGCCTCAGTGAACCAACTTGCGCCTTGGTAACCCCTACCAGTAAGCTGTTGCGTGTGCCTGTGGAGCCTATTCTTCACAAAGAGCAAGAAGTTTTGTTTGCTAACCTACATTGTTGTTACTGTTCACTCCTTTTCATCCTACTGAACTAGTGGCTGCCGAGTTTTGCCGTTACTGTGTAGGCAGAGGAACCTCCTCGTGGCCTATATCTGTCTACCCTTTTGTTTTTCTTCCTCCCCCTCCTTTCTTTTAGATCGTGCTTCAGCACAATGAGTCTTTTTTTATTTTGGTAGAAGCACAAGGAGTCTAGGATCGAACTTTCGTGCTACCTGGATCATTACGTTGGGATGAGGCATTTTGGTAACCCACTTTTGTTGCCCAGTTATTCTTTATTGAAGGATCGTTGGGTCATCGGTCATTTTTGGATCATGGGTTGGTTTCTTCCTGACCAACTCATCATATACATGTTCTTCGTCAAAAGTGTTTTGTGTACTTTCCTTTTTTGAAACAGTGCAAAAGTCATACCAACGGCGCCTACCTTCTAATTCTCTTGATGAAGTATGTTTAAGGTTCAAAGTCTGATATGGGTAGGCGACTTTAGTTTGAGAAAACTGTCGTGAGTAGAAGGTTATCTTATGCATGCTACAAGGGTTGGTACGTGGTACTGATGTCCATTTGAGAGAAGCTTAGGTCTTCAAGAACAGGAATATGCTCTGGTATTTCAGTGGGAAAGAAAGAAGGCCGTAATAAGTACTGCTACTTGGAATATACTATGGCCATAAAGTAAACCCGGACCTGGCTACGCCAATCCATATTTGCTTTTTTGAGGCCTAAGTTGTATACAGTATCTTGCTACTTAATCGGACAAGAGTTTTTGTGGTATTTGGAGGCCGACCATCTAGCTAAGGCCTACTTCTACTATCCCCTGCTAACTTTTTCTTCGCCAATTTCTCGCACATGATCGTTGGTGCAGTTTCTTTTGCTGTTGCTAGCTTTTAGCTTCTTATCATGTGCATGTATTTGTACTTTGTCCTTGCTCTAAATTTTACGAAAATGCTTCTCTTCTGCATGTGATTATAACTTTATCAACATTAGACTGGACTTTTGGATGCTTTTCATATGAACTCTCTGTCCTCCATGGAATTCCTTTGTGCTTCCTGAGACCACACAGCTGATCTTTTTTCATGTGTTGATGGTTGTGTAGATAAGTTGAGTCCTGCTGCATTTGAGAAGCATTCTGGGAGAGAGACTGCTAGGAAGTGGAAGAATAATGTCTGGGTGATAGTGAATGGGGAGAAGGTTCCGTTGTCCAAAACAGTGTTGCTCAAGTACTACAACCAATCATCGAATGGATCCCACCGCTCTCAAACTGGACGTGTTTTCCATCGTGATGAGTTTGTTCGCTGCAGCAAATGTAACAAGGAGCGAAGATTCCGCTTAAGGACCAAAGAGGAGTGTCGAGTTCACCATGATTCTGTGGCCAATGCTAGCTGGAAGTGTGCTGACTTACCGTTTGACAAGTATGCCTTCTCTCCTTTTAAGTTGATAGTAGCTGTTTCGTTATTTCCATTATGGTGAATGGAAAATGCTGCCTTTGGTACATTAGATTTATAGTTGTTATTTGCTTAATAATACAGCCCTTTCTCTTATCATTTCTGCATCCTTAACTCTGTTCTTGCAAACCAGAGTGTGATGATGTTCTTTCCTTGGGGTTGCTGTTGAAATAATTGTGATTATTGCATGCTTTTTCCTTTTCTACCATTTTGCAGGCAGTTTCTTTCTCTTGTTAACATTCACTAAGACCTTCTATGCTATGTATAGAACATATAGTATGACTTCTGCCTTTTTCACCTGTGCATGGAAAAGGAAAATTATGATTTCTGTCGCTGGATGCAAGAGTTCTAGGAATATGTGTCAGATAAAGGCTAGTGTTTATCATAATTTGGTTCCTCATACAAGGTTTTCCTGGACTATAGAAGTTGGCAATGATATTAAATCTTTGTTGGAGATTTTTAAATGATCGGCCCATAACCAGAGCCATGAAAGGCAGTTGCTTTGGAGCTGCCAACTTAATTGGACGACATATAATGGCATGTTTCCTTTTTCCTTTCTCTCTGCAATAATGGATGATGTAAAATTCCAGACGATTTTGTTGCCACCAGTAATCCTGTTGGAGTATGCTACAACAGAAATTTCCACGGTGGTGGCTGGAACTGGTCCAGGCTCCAGAGAACTATGAGATTTATGATTTCGAATGCTATGAACATAAGCACTGAGCTAGTCTGCTCAATTTGAATTAAAACCCCATTGTTTTCCAGCAAAGGACATCATGAAAAGCTTAGGTTGACAATGTAGGATCGAATTCGGTCCTTGCGTGACCTTCTGCTTCGGTTTCTTCGACTGATATCCTCGTTTTGTTGGCAGGCTAACATGTGATGACGATGAGGAGAGAGCAAGTCGAAAGGTGTACAGAGGCTGCTCCCGCTCTCCAACATGCAAGGGATGCACTTCCTGCGTGTGCTTTGGCTGTGAAATCTGCCGGTTCTCTGACTGCAATTGCCAGACTTGCACCGACTTCACAAGGAATGCGAAAGCTTGAAGAAGAACCCTTCTTGCAGCATATCCGAGTCCGTCCACCATCCTTGATTTGATCCCATTAGGGCTGCCATTATTTAACCACTTCACACTGCTCTTCTCCCCTGCCTTCTACAACAGTCGGAAAAAGGGCGGGAAGGAGCAGCAAATTCAGTGACTATTTATCCTCTATTTTTGGACGTCTATTTATGAACAAAACACCCGCCAATTCGCCATGCTTGTGTGATTGGCGAGCCTGTGATCTGAAGCTGAGTGAGAGGATACACAGTTTTCTCACTCACTAAGTCTTTTGTTGGGCTCCAAAGACAAGTAATTTCAATCTCCTTCATTTATTATTACCAATCATTTCCTACATCACATCCACTTGACTTGCTGCTTCCTTAACCATTTCCTGCAAATGATGCTCAAAATTAAAGAGAAGTCCGTTTGAAATTGAGAAAAGCATGAATTGTCAGAAAAGATTTGAGGAAAGCTAGAATCGAAGGGAAATAATCGTACTAGTGTATTTTGATCATCTTTCACGCTGTCACGAAAGAGAGGGAGAAGGAAAAAATTGGGAGGGGAAGGACAATTTAGGAGTAAAAATTTGAGGATTAAGAAATAATGAGGGGAAAATAGTGTTATATTTTGAGGAAGAAAGATGGGAAGGAAAAAATTGGGAGGGGCAGGACAATTTAGGAGTGAAAATTTGAGGATGGAAAAATAATGAGGGGAAAATAATGTTCAATTTTGAAGGAAGAAAGGAGGGCAAAAGGAATGAAAATTTGAGGATGGAAAAATAATGAGGGGAAAATAGTGTTGAATTTTGAAGGATGAAATGAGGGCAAAAGGAGGGGAAAAGAGACCTAAATTTTTAAAACTTATAAATAGGTCGAAGTTCATGAGATTTTATGTTTTAAGAAACTTACGGTATGCATTATGAGATTTTTTGTCTGCTTTAAGAAAATGGTGGTTTGCTTTATGAGGTTTTTGGTCTTGATATGTTTTATGAGATATTGGTTTGCTTTTTGAGGTTTCAGATATGCTTCATCAGGTTTTATGGTTTTCTTCATAGAACTTATGGTCTGCTTTGTGAGGTTTTTGATATACTTGAAGAACTTGTGGTTTGGTTTAAGAAAATTGTGGTATAGTTTATGAGGTTTTAGGTATGCTTCTGGAAACTTGTGTTATGTTTTAATAAACTTGTGACATGATTTAAAGAACTTGTGATTTGTTTTATGAACTTTATGGTATAGGACTTTGCTACGGTGATATGCATGTCACGGTGACATGCACTTTTCGGTCGACCTCATATAGGATCAGGTCGACCTAATATGTTGTTTCAGTGTAAAAACAGTTTCATGGTGCCTACTTTGGAGATTCATATATTACAATTGGCTAGATGGAAATTGGATATTGAAGGCTTGTTTTGAAGCTGAAGTGTCCCTCTACACATTAAAGTACTTGAGAGCTCAATAGAAAGTCCAGAAGACCATTTTTGAACCTGACCAAAAGTCTATGCCAAAACTGGGAAACTGCCTGAAAATGGCTAAGTCTGGCAACGTGTTTGTCAAGCCTACTTTGGAGCTCAATTTGAGAAGCATGGATGCGAGTCAAGTCCAGGGGCCTCTACCACGTTAAATTACGTATTTGTTTATACAAAGGAAAGACATTTGATGAAAGATTGAATATCTTTAAGGCTTCAAACAAAAGGCTCGAAGTTGCTACGAAGGCTGTTTTTCTGGCCGCTTGCTTGTGCTCGAAGTCTGCCAGAAAAACAGCCTTCGTAGCAACTTCGACCCTTTTGTTTGAAGCCTTACACATATCCAATCTTTCATCCAATGGCTTGAATTTGTATAAAAACATACCTAATTTAACGTGGTAGAGGCTCCTGGACTCGACTTGCATTCATGCTTCTCGAATTGAGCTCCAAAATAGGCTTCACAAACACGTTTCCAGACTTAGCCATTTCCAGGCAGTTTCCAAGTTTTGGCATAGCCTTTTGATGAGGTTAAAAAATGGTCTTCTGGACTTCCTATCGAGCTCTCAATCACTTCAATATGTAGAGGGACACTCCAGCTTCAAAACAAGTCATTAGTCTTCAATTTCCATCTAGCCAATTGTATGATATGAATATCCAAAGTAGGCACCATGAACTGTTTTTACACTGAAACAACATATTAGGTCGACCTGATCCTATATGAGGTCGACCGAATCCTAAATGAGGTCGACCAGATCCTATACGAGGTCGACCGAATTCTAAATGAGGTCGACCTAATCCTAACTGAGGTCGACCAGAAAGTGCAAGTCACCATGACATGCATGTCACCGTAGGCACACCCTATGGTATAATGAGGTTATGGTATGCTTTATAAGATTTTTTGTATACTTTCTGGTGTTTGTGGCGTGGTGAGATTTAAGTATGCTTTATGGTATTTGTGGTATGGTTCATTATGTTTATGGTCTGCTTCATGATACTTGTGGTGAGGTAGAATTAGCACACAACACCACAAGCATGTGCCTCCCGATTTTTAATAATGATAAGTGTGTTGCTTTCTTTATAAATCCATATTAATTGTGATAAACCCCTTTTAATAAATAAAAAAACAAATCAAACTAAATATTCCAATTGGCTGACAAATTGCCAGCACCCTAACCGCTGCCCAATTTATGATAAAATAATAAGAATTGACAATTTTGTCATTTCATCATTAATTAATTGTCATATTTATCGCACATGTCAATCTAATTTGTTCTCCCTTACTTTTTATGGATCGGATAGGGTGCTAACACCTCTTTGTGTTATCACGATACTAATATAATTCATTAAGGCCTCGTTTAGTATTGTTGTTTGTTTTTGTTTTCTGTTCTCTTCTTAAAAATTGTGAAAACCGAGGAAAAAATGTTCAATTGGGATATTTATTTTTATTTTGTTGTGAATAGATTCATACAACTAGGTCCAAATGAGAGAAACCAAAATTAATGGTTTCCTTGGTGCTTTTTTTATTAAGTGGAGGCTAGAACAACCAAACGAATACAACAACAACTATAAGGGACACAAAAGGGTCTGGTGTCCGAGCTTTGAGGTATCAAAATTTGGCAGGGAAAGCTTACTCTAATAACATCTTCCTATGTGAGCCAAATCTGCTGGTGGATCATCAAGTTCATGCGTACCAAATGGATAGACGAGACTATGCTTCGAGAGTCAGTCCGCAACTCTATTCCCTTGTTTATGTGTTGAACATGCTCTTGAACACTGATTTGGTGGAGAAAGCTTATGTCAACGTGAGACTCCAAAATGGCTTGTCTGTTCCACTTGACAAGGGGTCAAGTACCATGGAACGAATCTGTTTGACTACTTGTTGCGGCAGCAGCTCATCAAACTCCTCCAGCTTCCACCCTCGTTCTATGTCACAAAAATCTGCCATTCTTCTTTTTTAATAGCTCATCGCCAATAGCACCCGTAGTGAGCTCTAGAAGAGGTCCCTATGACACCCAAGGATCCACCCAAAATTTAGCCAATTTACCATTCGTAACATTTAAGGCATACCTCTTTTTAAGTACATTCACCACAGAGGTGAAACTACGTCAGGTAAAGGAACTTCCCTTTGCTTTGGTGAGTGTCTCTAGCCCCTCTCGTGACCTCGCGTATTTTTCTTTCATCACCGCTACCCTTCGCAATCATAGCTTAGTTTGTAGCTCTTGTAGGTCTAATTCACACCCCTCCTTGGCTTCTCGGTAAAGTTAATTGGTCCCACGCAACTGGATGAAATTTGTGTTTTTCTTCTTCTTCTCCCCAAACAAACGGTCTGCTAATCCTGTCAAGAGAATTGCAAGTCACCGTAGAGGGTGATTCGGTAAACATAGGGTAAATAGCCTTAGAAGAAGAAATTGATCTCACCAGGGTCACGCGAGCTCCCATGGATAAGGGTTTAGCTTTCCATAGGTTGAGTTTCTTCTGAATTCTTATGCATATTTCCCTATATCTAGCTCTTGTGATACGCCCATTGATCACATGTATCCCCAAGTACTGCCCCATGTCACTGGTTAAGGTGATGTCGACGTTGGAGCTAAGTTGTTGTGCTTTGTTCCTTGATATATGATTGGAGACAACCATGGCCGATTTCAACAGGTTTACACGTTGGCCATAAATACTACAAAAGTCCTCAAGGAAACTTCTAATGGTGTCAATCTGGTTGGACTCAACCTTAGCGAACAAAACCAGATCATCTGCTAAAAACAACCATGGCAGTTTAGGTCCATTAGCAGAAAAAGCAAGAGGTTTCCACAGACGAGCTTCCACCGCTTGTTCGATTCTATGGGACAGTCTTTTCATGCACAAGACAAAGAGAAAAGGAGAGAGAGGATCTCCCTGGAAAACTCCTCTGGATGGATAGATCACTTCAGTAAATTCTCAGTTCAAACTAATCCTCATCTTGTTACGTTCCACACAGTACATGATTCTGCTGATCCATATACTTGGTAGTCCAATCTTCTTGAGGGTATCTCTGATAAATTTCCATCTCAATCTATCGTAGGCTTTCTCAAGATCAACCTTGATGATCAGCCCTCCTTTTCTCCCTTTTTTTTCTTGTGCAAAGAGTGAAGAACTGCAGCAGTGGGGCAAGTGTTGTGGGTCATGGGTATAAGTATGATCTGGAAAGAGCGTTGTGCTAGAGTTCATGGAGAGCGAGGGGTGCAGATGCCAGCTCAAATTGTGAGGAAGATAAAGCAGGAGGTTACCATCTTTGTTAGCCGCCAGAATGAGTTCCAGTTGAAGACACAGAAGATACTTGGAGTTATATAAATGTATAGAGTGCTAGCTTTTTTGTGTTTGGTTATTCAGTGTGTATTTAGTGCTATATATTGTAGTTTAACAAGTACTTTTTTGAGAGGGAGGTTGCGAGTTTGCACCTCTCCGGGCTTAAATGCATTTTTGATTAACCATACAAAAAAGAGTGAAGAACTTCTTGCAGGACTATGATATTGCCATTGGTTTGTCACCCTGGAATGAAGTCACTCTAAGTCGGAGCTATGAGTTTAGGCATCAAGGGCTTTAGGCTATTTTTTGTGATAGCCTTCAAACACACATTATTGAGACAAATAGGTCGAAGTTATGCTGGGGTCTCAGGCCGTTCATGCTAGCTGGTAACTCCCTGTTTCAAAGAATGAAGTAGCCATGTTAGTGAAGCTCCTCCGCACTAGACCCCAAAGTTTATGATAAAACACTGCTTGAAATCCATCTAGACTAGGAGCAGAGTAAGGCTTCATGCCAAACACTACCTTGTGGATATCAGAAATACTAAAGGGTCTAAGTACTTGGAGGAGCTCAACATGATCCAATCTAGGAAACTTGTTCTTTGGCATAAGATCATCATAGCTCAGCTTGAGCTCTTCTTGGGTATGCAGGGTATCTAACTCAGCTTCCA